TACAACAGACACTACAGACTGATTGTCTGTCTAGCTGTGCCTGATGTCTGCCTTACTATATCAGACATTACGTCTGTCTAACTGTAACACAAACACTACAGACTGATGGCTGTCTAGTTATACCACAGACACTTCTGTACCACAGACACTATAGACTGATGTCTATCTAGTTGTATCATATACACTACAGACTGCTGTCTGTCTATCTGTGTCTAGCTATACAACAAACACTACATACTGATGTCTGTCTATCTGTACCACAAACACTACAGACTGATTGTCTGTCTAGCTGTGTTACATCTAGACAGACATCAGTCTGTAGTGTCTGTGGTATAGCTAGACATACATCAGTATGTAGTGTCTGTTGTACAGCTAGACAGACATCAGCCTGTAGTGTCTGTGGTACAGCTAGACAGACATCAGTATGTAGTGTCTGTGGTACAACTAGACAGACATCAGTCTATAGTGTCTGTGGTACAGCTAGACAGACATCAGTCTGTAGTGTATTTGGTACAGCTAGACAGACATCAGTCTGTAATGTCTGTGGTATAGCTAGACAGACATAAGTCTGTAGTGTCTGTGGTATAGCTAGACAGACACCAGTATGTAGTGTCTGTGGTATAGCTAGACATACATCAGTCTGTAGTGTCTGTGTTATAGCTAGACAGACATCAGTATGTAGTGTCTGTGGTACAGCTAGACAGACATCAGTCTGTAATGTCTGGTATAGTAAGGCAGACATCAGACGTTAGGGTCTGTGGTACAGCTAGACAGACATCAGTCTGTAGTGTCTGTGGTACAGATAGACAGATATCAATCTGTAGTGTCTGTGGTATAGCTAGACAGACATCAGTTTGTAATGTCTGTGGTACAGCTAGACAGACATCAGTCTGTAATTTCTGTGTTACAGCCAGACAGACATCAATCTGTAGTGTCTGTGGTATAGCTAGACAGACATCAGTCTGTAATGTCTGTGGTATAGCTAGACAGACATCAATCTGTATTGTCTGTGTTACAGCTAGACAGACATCAGTATGTAGTGTCTGTGGTACAGCTAGACAGACATCAGTCTGTAATGTCTGTTGTACAGCTAGATAGACATCAGTCTATAATGTCAGTGGTATAGCTAGACAGACATCAGTCTGTAGTGTCTGTGGTAAAGCTAGACAGACATCAGTCTGTAGTGTCTGTGATACAGGTAGACAGACATCAATCTGTAGTGTCTGTGGTATAGCTAGACAGACATCAGTCTGTAGTGTCTGTGGTACAGATAGACAGACATCAGTCTGTAGTGTCTGTGTTACAGTTAGACAGACATCAGTCTGTAGTGTCTGTGTTACATCTAGACAGACATCAGTCTGTAGTGTTTGTGGTACAACTAGGCAGACATCAGTCTGTAGTGTCTGTTGTATAGCTAGACAGACATCAGTCTGTAGTGTCTGTTGTATAGCTAGACAGACATCAGTCTGTAGTGTATGACAGACATCAGTCTGTAATGTCCGTGGTATAGCTAGACAGACATCAGTCTGTCATATCTGTTGTACAGCTAGCCAGACATCAGTCTGTAGTGTATGTGGTATACCTAGACAGACATCAGTCTGTAATGTCCGTGGTATAGCTAGACAGACATCAGTCTGTAGTGTCTGTGGTATAGCTAGACAGACATCAGTATGTAGTGTCTGTGGTACAGCTAGACAGACATCAGTATGTAGTGTCTGTTGTACAGCTAGACAGACATCAGTCTGTAGCGTATGTGGTATACCTAGACAGACATCAGTCTAGTGTATATTATACAACTAGACAGACATCAATCTGTTATGTCTGTGGTATAGCTAGACAGACATCAGACTGTCATATCTGTTGTACAGCTAGACAGACATCAGTCTGTAGTGTATATGATACAACTAGATAGACATCAGTCTGTAGAGTCTGTGGTATAGCTAGACAGACATCAGTATGTAGTGTCTGTGGGACAGCTAGACAGACATCAGTCTGTTGTGTCTGTGGTATAGCTAGACAGACATCAGCCTGTAGTGTCTGTGGTACAGATAGACAGACATCAGTCTGTAGTGTCTGTGGTATAGCTAGACAGACATCAGACTGTCATATCTGTTGTACAGCTAGACAGACATCAGTCTGTAGTGTATGTGGTATACCTAGACAGACATCAGTCTAGTGTATATGATACAACTAGACAGACATCAATCTGTTATGTCTGTGGTATAGCTAGACAGACATCAGTCTGTAATATCTGTTGTACAGCTAGACAGACATCAGTCTGTAGTGTATGTGGTATAGCTAGACAGACATCAGTCTGTAGTGTATATTTTACAACTAGACAGACATCAATCTGTTATGTCTGTGGTATAGCTAGACAGACATCAGTCTGTAGTGTCTGTTGTACCGCTAGACAGACATCAGTCTGTAGTGTCTGCGGTACAGCTAGACAGACATCAGTCTGTTGTGTTTGTGGTATAGCTAGACAGACATCAGTCTGTAGTGTCTGTGGTACAGCTAGACAGACATCAGTCTGTAGTGTCTGCGGTACAGCTAGACAGACTTCAGTCTGTAGTGTCTGTGGTACAGCTAGACATACATCAGTCGTTAGTGTTTGTGGTACAGCTAGACAGACATTAGCTGAGCAAAGGGGACTCAATTTTGGGTTAATAGAGGGTGCGGCACCTTGGGGGCAAAGGGACGGGGCCCAATAGCAGATATAGATGAAATGAATGAAGGGATTTCAATCCAATGTGGTATGGACCACTTTGTTTCTCCTTCCATAAGAATGTAGAGATTTTAACCAAATTTGGCATAGAGCATCCATTGGCAAGTGGGACCCCTGGGGGGCAGAAGGGTAGAGCGCATTAGGGGAAATAGAGGTAAGTCATTAAAATCCGTCATCTTTCATATAAATTGAGGGATTTTATCCCCACTCTATAACCAAATATACAATTGCTAGGCATGAAAAGAAGAAAACAATCCTGCTACCAGGATTGCCCTGAGGTCCATAAAACCCCTGGAGACTACCTCCCTGGGTCATAACATGGAAATGGATTTAGTCTCTCTTGTAGCTTGTATTTTTTGTACTTCTTTGATACACTGGTATAGTACTTGGCAGGTTTTAAATTGAAAATACCAGGTGAGCTATGAACGCCCCTGGGCTTCTTGTTGTCTATAATGTATTCAGTCTTGGTGTAGTCACTCCTCATGTATTCACCCTCATTATGGTTATCTACCAGTAATGTGTTCAGCCTAATTTTTGTTGTCTCCAATATATTCAGTCTTGGCGTGGCTGTGAATCTACCGATTAAGCCTTGTTTTGCTGTGTGAGGTACAGTATTCATTCTAATTAGGGCCCCCATATCAGAGATACGGGTGCCCTATAGTAATCACTCTGTCCGTCTGTCTGTCCGTCCGTCAACAAATTTTGTCCTGGCTGATAACTTTGCTATTTATTGACTGATTTACATGAAACTTGGTCAAGATGTTCAGTTCACAAAAATACAAACTGAGGTCAAAGGTCAAAAATTAAGGTCATTAGGTTCAAAGGTCAAGGTCAAATTTTGCATCTTTTCACTGATGAACATTTTGTTATGACATGATAACACAAAGTTGATCAAAATTAAACAAGGAGTCAACTGACCAAATGTCAAGGTCATTGTATCAAGGTCACATGGTCAAAGGTCAAGGTCAAATTTTATAGATTTTCATTATGGAGCATTTTTTGACATTTTGAAGCAAAGTTGTTTGCAATTAAACAAAGAGTCAACTGACCAAAGGTCAAGATCACTGGGTCAAAGGTCAAGGTCATATTTGGTTCTTTTCACTGGTGAACATTTCGTTATGACACTTTGAAGCAATGTTGCTAAGAATTAAACAAGGAGTCAACTGACTAAAGGTCAAGGTCGTTGGGTCAAAGGCCAAGGTCAAACTTTGTATCTTTTCACTGGTGAACATTTCGTTATGACACTTTGAAGTCACTGGATCAAAGGTCAAGGTCAAATTTTGTATCTTTTCCCTGATGAACATTTTGTTATGATGTTATGGAGCAAAGTTGGGTGTTATGATACTTTGAAGCAATGTTGGTCAGAATTAAACAAGGAGTCATTTGACTAAGGTCAAGGTCACTAGGTCAAAGGTCAAGGTCAAATTTTGTATCTTTTCACTAATAAACATTTTGTTATGACATGAAGCAAAGTTGGTCAGAATTTAACATGGAGTTACCTGACTTAAGGTCAAGGTCATTGGGTCAATGTCAAGGTCAAATATTGTATGTTTTTACCGATGAACATTTATTTTATTTTATTATGAAGCAAAGTTGTTCAGAACTTAACACGTAGTCAACTGATCAAAGGTGCAGCTTACTTGGTCCAAAACTTCAAGTTCAAGTTTTTAATTTTTCACTGATGAACATTTTGTTATGATATTATGAAGCAAAGTTTGTCGGAATTAAAGAATTAGTCAACTGACCAAAGATCAAGGTCACTGGGTTAAAGGTCAAGGTAATTTGGTTACAAAGGTCAAAGACAAAGTGGATCTCTGACTTTGACCCTGGCTCTTGATGGGGGGAGGTATTTAAGGTGAAATAAAACTAATCAAAGCTAACAAATGAGTATTGCACCGGTATTTACATTTCTGTTAGCCCAGCAAATATGGAGGTGGAAGTAAACAAGACTCACATCAGAGTACATGTAAAATGTATATTTTGCATCCTTGCGATTCTTTTTGAAGTCCAAATGTCAAACGTCAAGCTCAGCTATATGGGCAAATGCTTCTTGATGATATGGGGGATATATTGCCACAAGCTACTTGATTATTTTAAAGACCTGTCAGTGTTCTAGTTATGGTAGAGTATGTAGCATACTCAGCCTGATAAGGACCCATGTTTCCTATAAGTACCCCACCCTTACCCTCAACCTATTTATGCTACTTGATTATTTTAAAGATTTGTTCAGCTGTTAAAAACAAAACATCTGATGTGTCTTGATTTGTATTTACAGTAATGGACGTGAGTACACTTACCTGGAAGAGTACCCGATCAACCTGATCCACAGACTGGAGGAGGACGCTGGTCATCCCACCACCAGGATCATAGCAGTGGTGCTACAGTATGGGGCAAATTTCTCAGGGCCAGGCAATGATATCTTCCGTGTTGACCGGGCAACAGGAGAGCCGTCCGAGGCCCACACTTCCAACTTCCTACATCCCGTCCTCTACTACTACGAAACGCTTCCCACAAGTTTGTAGCTTCAATCGATCTTGATTTGATATATATTATTCTAACACATAAATCTTTAGCTGTATGTTGACATTTGCTGTCACAGGGAACAGTGTCAAATGTTTGTATGAACCTGTTTCAGTGTTTCATATTTTTTTGGTCAAAAGTGAAACTTGGATCCTTACAAACAACAATGATCATATACTCTATATTTCTGTTTCTGATTTTTATTTTGTTCATATACAGCATTCAGCATCAGTCAGAAATTCAGTATTGTGCAAATGATTATTTATACATAATGTAACACACATAGGGTGAAACACTCTTTGAGATCCTTATGTCATCATACCTATATAATTAGACTATTTTCATGTAAAATAAGTAATGTGCTTGTAATTTATTTTTGATTTTCCCTATTTTAATAGCAGCTATAACCCTCTCTGATTCCCACAATTTGGTTGTACGATCCTTAAATAAAAGTTGATGTAACAGCTTTTCATCAGAGGAGACGGGGATGTTTATTTAACCATTGGCTGCAATTCTAGTTTGAATTTCAGAGTTGTTTTAATATTTTTAGAGTCACCTTTACCTTGATATTGTTTTATGTAGTTCTAATAAACTTACAATTGCTTTTATTCCCTGACAGAATCTCAAATGTTGCGCATAGCCAAGGATGAGATCTTGCCTCGCCCAAAACTGATGCACCACATTGTTGAGGACTTTCTAACAGTCTGGGATGGCCCCCTCAGTCACATCCTCCCACTTCGACGCTACATTGAAAATGTCCTCAGCAGTGACATGCGCAATTTCTTCAGCGAGGATTGTTTGGAAATGGCCCTTACACAGAAGACTGTTCCAATATTTTGTGAGGACTATCTGGGGGGAGAGGGCATACCAGGATACCGAGCACTGCAGAGCTAGCTTGTGTCAGCCATTCCATAGATAATCAGATAGTTTGATACAGTGCCTACAAAATGACCATTCAATCATAATTCTAATTATGCATATTAATGTTTTTTTATTTATCCAAAATCTATGAAAGTCCAAATGTTGATTTGTTCTGAGTTTCAACTCAAGTGTCTGCTGAAATCTACAGACATGAAAAGGAAGTTTCCTGTGTTAGTTGAATTGAGCAAATCATAATTAGGATAAATTGTTGCCACAACGGTATGTGTCTCTATGGCAACAGCCTGGGTGTGGAGATACTTGTGATAGGGTTCTATATGCAATCACTTCACATCTGGTATGGGAAAATACAATATTTTTTATAGATTTTATTGACTTATTTGTTTTTGAAAGAATTTGACAGATATTAACATTCAAAATGAACCCAAAAGTTACAATAATGATTAGTCATTTTAATTATAACTACATATTAGTATAACACACACTGGCTCTGAATTCAACTAGAACCGTTTTTGTTGATAGAACATGTTTTCATAGATATGTTAAATTTGTTCTTATCTCTTTAGACACACACTTTGAAAAGGATAACCATTTTTTTAAGACACAAATTCCATTTAATTTTCAGTTCATACAACTTTTTATACATGATTAGTGTCCCGGATGTTTACTTATGTAGATTATGTTTTACGCACATTTGATTTCATAAACTGACCTTTGTTTGCTTATTCATGACAACATTAATTTACATTTCACTTGACATGTCTTAAAGTACATTTAAATAATAAATAAATAATAATACATTCAGGTAAAACTTGAATTTGTGATTGACATTTAATACAAAATTTGTTAATATCAATACACACGAAGTACAAGATTTTTTTCTGGAAAAACAGACTTAATCACTACGTAGGTCTTATTTGTCGTGACAGCTGTATCAAGCCCCGATCAACTTATTGTTTAGTCAAGCTTATACAAAAAGTTGAATGATATGCATCAAATTATGCACATTTAAGTCATAAGTTTTAGCCGAGGTAGTCAATTAGATGCCATGGAGGCCATCTTAAATTTCAGACAGGTCTAAATTAGTGGAACTTGAAAAGAAATGTCACAGCCAATCGGAGTCAAGGCCATGGCAGCCTCCTATGGTATTGAAATTCACAACACTTGGTAAAGATTATGGTAGAATTATTTGTACCTATGCATTTTTTGGTTGAAACAGCCTAGTTGAGCCTAAGAAGGGGAAAATACCTCCGGCAATACTATTGGCCATCTTGGATTTCAGTTAATTCCCAAAATTAACAACACTTATTGAGAGTAATGAGAGAATCCTGGAAGGATTGACTATTTGCATTGAAGAGTTTTAGAGATATACAATCCAGCTGTATGATGCGGTGTAATTCATTTTCGACATACTGTATATCTATTACTAACTGTTAAAGGTACAGCCACCTGTCTGTGTGTTACATTCATCTTTAAAAAGTATCAAATGGCTGCAGGAAATAACAACTCTCTGTCAGTGGCTTAGGGGCATTGTTTGTGTACATAGTTCGGATCAGTTCACTTTCGGTTAAAATCGGCTTGCTGCTTAACTTGGGAAGAATTTATAAAAACAATGTTTATATTGTTAAATGTACACTAAGCTATGGTCAGGTTTAGACCCTGCTTCATCATCATATTAAGACAGAACACTAGAGTGTGGTTACATTCAGACACTAACGTGTTATCAAGGGTGTATTAGTCTGTTGGCAGTTTATGTCGTCACCCAATTCCCACCTACATTTGTACGTTCGTACAGTTTATACTACTTTTTTTTATACAGGATTTTATTTGTAAACTGACATTTTCACTTTTTGTTCCCCAGAAATTACCAAATGTATTCAGAAGGCAGTGAATGTGTATCTGGCAATGCAACAACATTCTAATGGGTATCGTTCCGTTGATCTTCCACCAGCAATGTGTTCCTATGACAATATAGTGAAACCTCAATATAACGCCCATCCTTTCATTTGCCACCTCTCTTACTACCAATATATTTCACGGTACACTCTTTTTTTCTTAAAATTCCTAATATGTGTCCGTCAATTTATCGGCAAACCCCTTTATAACGCCAAATTTTTCCAGGACAAATGGTGGCAGTATAACAAGGTTTTACTGTATTCTGGATTAATTTGATGTTTGATGAAGCTTTTAGATAGCATATGATATAATTATATGATTTTACACACTACTTTATCATTATAAAAAGGCAGGTAGGTTGTACAGATTTCATTTCGCACAAGTCTGTAAATTTAAATATATATTTTTATTTAAAATATACAGTCCATAAAAAAAAGTTGATAAATCCACTTGCTAGCTTGTTTATAAGATTTGAACTGTTGGCATCCTCTGTAGGCAATGGAAGGTGTATCAGAATCTATTAATGTCCGGGGCACCGGCTGGCACTTCAGATATCAGATTTGAATATTTATTTAATTTGCTTATATTCAGAAAATTTAATATTTTTTCTTTAAAGTTTTATAAAAGTAACAAACTAGAATTGTGTCTCATACATACTGCAGGTTGATGACAACTCGAACTGAGTTGGATATATGTTCACTATTTTATTCCAGAGACATAGTAAAAAAAAATGTTTTGTTAATTCACCTCTATGTGACATATTACCTCTAGGAGTTCAAGTTGAGTCAAGAGTAAACTGGGTTGGCTGGTCTAAATAAGAAAATTATCAATTGTTGTGGAAAATATAAGATATTTTAAAAACATTTCTCAGACCTGAGGGAAGGGGTTCTTGGTAACCACCTGTATCTACCATTGTTTTGAACTTAACATTTCAACATTTGATAAAGACCAGTAGAGGAGTTAATCAGTTAGGTGACATATTATAGGACATACTGCTTTCTTTACAAATCATGTGCCTTTCCTTATATGGGAACACTTATGTGCTCTGATGTAATCTGCCTCAATGTTGTGTTATTCGGAGGAGAATTCAGGAGTATGATTGAAAGAAAGGGTCTTAGGTAAAATAGTAGCTTTATTAGTGAGGGGTTGTCAAGTCAGATCTGTTTTATAGTAAGTAGCTTTAATAGTGAGGGGTTGTCAAGTCAGATCTGTTTATAGTAAGTATCTTTAATAGTGAGGGGTTGTCAAGTCAGATCTGTTTTATAATATTGTAGTCGGTGGATTCAAGAAAATACTTTTTCAGTAGAAATCATCATGAATAGTAGTACCTGGTAAAGTTATCAATTATAGGACTGCAATATATGGTTTTAATGGAAAGCAATGTCATGTTATCAAAATGGATACATGTACCAAACATTTTCAAAGTATGTAATTACCGCAAAAACCCATGTAATTTGCGCACTTTTTTTTTCAGAAATTTAATACCCAAAGTGGGGGGTGCGTAAAATATACAGGTATAGAAAATTTCAAGTTTTTTTCAGGAAAAGATCGACGATTCTGGGAGATCGCCATCTTGGATTATTTCCCTTAATTATACACGGAACTCTAAGACAAATGACGGTCAACAAATTTATTTATGTCAAACATTAATAAAAGATAAATAATGTGTTGTTATGTGAGTTTATGTGAAAAGTATTATTAAATAGGTAACCGTTAACAAAAAAAGTTTAGCCAAATTCCTATGCCAGAGAATCGCCGATCAACTTACGACATTACGTTTCGACATCTCGGTGCGTTTCCCCATACTATTACGAAAATGTAGTTGTTCAATTTAAGCTCCGTTCCATGTAAGTTCTGTAAGTTTTTTTCAAATCGCCTATGCGTAAACGTATAGCATGTTTTTTTTCCGGCTCACTTTCATGTTGATCTCGCGTCTAACATTACGTAAACACGTGATTGATAATAACCTCGTGAATTATTTCAATATTTATTAAATGAAGCATCGTAAAAATAGTCTGCGTTAACTATTTTTTTCCTTGGAGTAGATTTGAAGAGGATGTATTGATTGTCCACGCTTCTAGTATAAACATATTTTTTATAATCCCTTATCAGTCAAATCAGTCTGTTGTTATGACAATGCAGTAGGGCTTCGTAATTCACGCCACGTGTTGGTGAGTGAAAAAACAACAACACGGTCCGTCGATCGCGACTGCAAATCATTTCAATTAGTAGAGCTATTGTTAACGGGTAATCACAGAGATAGTGTTAGCTAATTACTGCATTGTAATTTGTAAAAAATATCGCCAAACCACGGACTTAGATAATCTAATTCCGTGGCCAAACTGATCTGTGACATGACCTGGTTTGAAGTGACGTAACCCAAGCCGCCATGATGAGCCCTTCTCACTGATCGTAATTATGATCAATAAAAGGTATCTAATTATGTCTTTCACCAGGAGATATGCACCAGCGGTTATTAAACATCGAATTACTTATTAATTGATATGTGTTTGTAAGCAAGTAAATGTTAATGTAAAATATTGCTAAAATGAATTGATGTATGCCGATATGCGCACACGTGTGTGTCATGTATGATCAGATAATTCAAAGAAAACAAGCAACAAAATACACATTTTACCTAGTTTCTTCTTGGTTTTAAATATCATTTTACATCAAAAAAAAAAATCATAGAAATATATTTTAAAAAAAAATATTCAGAGATCGATTTTCGGAGCATGAACATCGTTTTTTTTCCAGATTTTTTGGGTGCGCAAAATATTCGAGTAGAAGCTTTTTTCCAGATTTTCAGCCTCAAAAAGTACCTGCGCAAATTACACAGGTGCGCAAATTACATGGGGTTTTACGGTATGTTAAATGAAGTCAAATCAAAATAAATCTGCGTTGGTTGATATTGCAGAGTTTTCTGTACCTGTATCAGGTTTGTCATGTATAGAGCTGTGTACATAAAAACATAATATATATATATAGGTATGTGTGTGTATGTGATCATGTATATATATATATAGGTATGTGTGTGTATGTGATCATGTATATATATATAGGTATGTGTGTGTATGTGATCATGACAAACAAGTGGGTTGCTTCACCTTCTATATAATGATGTAATTTTTACCCAGGTAATGTACATAAGTTGTCATTGGTGGAAAAGTTGCTGATGTTGTTTCATGATGATGATTGCTTTATGATATTTGCATATAATGACAATAATTTAAAGTTGACCTCCTGTCAGAGGATTTACATTACAGTTGAGATACACCTGTCGGAGGCTAATCTTTAGTTAATGTACATCACAGTCCAGATGTTAACCTTGAGGTTATTTACATAATGAATCTCATCTCGGGATTTATCTATTGAACAATAACAACCAAACTAAATATATCATTATTTGACAAACTGTGCATTACTTTTTGTAACAATGACAAAAATTGTATTCTTTTTAGGTCATTGACAAACACTGTATAATTTGTGTATTATTGGCAATGTATACTTTTTTTGGTCATTGACAAACACTGTATTATTTGTGTATTATTGGCAATGTATACTGTTTTGTTCATTGACAAACTCTGTATTATTTGTGTATTATTGGCAATGTATACTTTTTTGGTCATTGACAAACATTGTATATATTGGTTCACTGTTGTTCAATTTCTACAAAGCCAGACCTGTTAGATATGTAAGTCTATTAAACCAGATAAGTACCAATATCTGTGATATTGTTCAGTTGCTGTAGAACAGCCTCTGTAATTCTTTACTAGTCTGCTAATTAACCGGGGGTTTAGATTACTACAATATCATACATTACACCCTGTAGTTCGGGACTCGGCTCTCCAAAAATTACTTCTGGACATTTCTTCTATGTGTATGTAGATCCATGTTAGAGATTTTTATATTGTATTAAGTTTTTTGTTAATTTTAATTTCAGAAATTTTGTATTTACTTCTTGTTAAATTTGTTACTTTAATTGATGTTAGGCTAAGGTCCATTGCAACAAAGATTATTACAAAGTCAGATATTGTGTTCGGTTTCTATGGACAACAATTTTAGGAGTAGAAAGAGGGGGCCTCGTCGTCACTTTACGTGTAGGCTGCTGCTGTGCATGTTTATTGCTTTACAAGCAAATTTTTGCTATATTTGTGATATGATCTTTTTTCTCATTATTTGTATAACTTCACAATAATCCAGTGGGGCTTTTTAGGTTGTAAATCTTCATACCATATACTTAGAGAACTTTTACTTTATTTAGGTTTTTACACATTTGACAGATTAGGGCAGTATACTGACAGGGTACGACACAATCACAGCACACTAACCCATAGGCTCTTATTTCATAGGCAGTTATAGTTTATTTATGACATTTTCACCAGTGAAGTATCAGGAATTATCCATGTGATAAAAGCTTGTACATTCACTGCAGTGAAGATATACAAAATATTATTTCTTCACATGTGAAGATAACACTTTCAGTATTGTCCAATCAGAAATGGAACTTTCTGTTCACTGCATAGATTTTCCGTTTCAAGATGAATGAAGCTACAGTAGAATAAGTGGTTGTTTTGGTACACCATTGCAACATACATTAATGTATTACATAAATATACAATCGGTATAAGTTTTGTTTTGGTACCTTACCAGATAATATCAGCAAACGGCAGAGTTACGTTGAGTAACCCATTAAAAATGTCATTCTGCCTTGTTGTCAAGTATGACATCACTAGAACCTGGTGTCAAACATTACCGGTAAGCTGCTAATTCCCACACTTCTCTGATACATCACATTTGTGTTGTGCGTTACTTTAAAAAATGTAATAAATATAAAATGGTAACGGTTTTTCTATTGAATACCATATGTATTTCAATTGTATTGTCAGACAAATATCAATATTCGGTCATACTTGTGAAATATACATGGTATTCAACAGGAAACCTGTAGATTTCCTCTTTGTATCCTATGGAAGTGGGTCATATTGAGGAACTACAAGTACATGTAGTATTAGTCAGATAAACATTACTCTAACTGGTGGTTCCCTGCATCAGATGATTAAATAATCTGTCTTAATAAACAGATATTATATATGTAGATCTATGAAGATAATTTGAAGGAAAAATAAAACCTCTTGATAGACAGATGGTTTTATTCTGCTGTATGTTGCCTATTCTATGGACAGCTCTCAATCTAATTGGAACCATAGGTCCACCATGAAACTTGGTCCGGGTTACCTATGATATGGGTGGGGCTAAATCTTACTGAAACCACAGGTCCACCATGACACTCGATCAGGGTTACCTGTTATATGGTCAGGTCTAACGTTTATGGAACCATGGGTCCTTCATTAACCTTGATCAGGGTTACCTTTTGTATGGCCGGATCAG